TCATTTCTCTATCTTTTTCTCTATATATCTATCTATCTATATGAGTCTGAGTCCGTACTATATACTTAATATACTATATTGCCTTACTATAAGGATTGGACTGAAGGTTTTCTCTGTGTATTTTTTGATTGGCCGATATTTCTTTTTTTTTTTCAATATTTATGTATAATATATAACTACCTTGTGTTATTTCTCGGATTTTGTTCGTTTCACAACTAGCCGGAGTATTAATTACTAGGCACGTTTCGTACGTACGTGTGCGGCATGCGGCATGTGTATGTACGTCTGTGTGTATGTGGTGCGTGTGTATGTATGCCTGTCACACATAAAATGCGTACGTATGTAAGATTTTGGGTAGACGCGCATGCAGTTTCGCATGGGAGAAGGCATCCCCGTCGTTTTCTCTCTTTCTCTCTTTTCTCTCTTTTCGTTTATTTTATTTTATTTTATTTTATTTTTTTTTTTTCGTTCTTATCCGCGCCTTCGAGACGCATGCTATTATATTCTGCGCATAAGAGTATCCTCCGTTGCTTCGAAACCCGGAAGGTCGGCGTCATTTGTGCGGGCATCGACATAATACGAGCGTACTCATACTATTTCGTAAACGGCGAACTCGGTAAGAAAAACGTCTCTGCTTCTATTTCAATGTAACTGCGATCTACATCTCTGTGCACTTCAACCATCGGCATGGGCACAACAATCTTCATGTTTTATTTTATTTTGAGCAAGGAGAACTTGTGTGAACGGTGATCATTACACGGAGTGTAATCGCTCGTGGTGCACGTGGCGGTATTTTTTTGTCGAGAACAGAAAATGATTTTCTGTTAAGATTTCTGTTAATAAACAGCAAAAATAGACTGTACTCTTCGGAAACGCAAGTACTTACAAACAGAAAATGTTTAATATTTGTGATAACTGCATGATACAATAATTATGATTAAGAGCATTCTTATATCTTCATTTTTATAGTTATTACTCTGTGATGTTTATCGTAATAATTATATTTATGGTTCTATCAAAAAATTACATAGTTGACACGAAATTTTAGTTAATAATTTCTATAATAGATCTAATAATTTCTGATAATAGATTCTAGTAATTGCAACCGTTTTTTCTCTCAGTGCAGTAGATGATGAATTGCTATTTTTCTGGACAAATAATTAAACGAAGTCGCTCGAACAATATGTCGACATTTCGAAAATCGCGAGGATGAAATTTAGCCGTGAAAAAATTAATTAATTAATCATGCATGGTTTTCAACAAACAGCATCGCCACGTTCGCCAGCAGCGCGCCAATTACCGAACGCCCTGTACTTATCTTCATTTGCGTTACTGTAATCCATCTGCCCGAGTAACACAAGGATGTGACGACGACTTTTTCTC